CGAGCAGTGCAGCGAGCGCGTCGTCGAGCAGCGCGCCGTGGATCCGCGCCCCGACACCGAACAGGACGACGGGATCAAGCAGCGCGGCGTTGCGCCTCGCGACGGGGCCCGCCTCCAGCCTTCACATCCAACGAGTGAGGCGAGCCGCGCGACGAACGCCAGGTCCGCGAACAGCCCGTCTGCGACTGGCACCTCGAGCTTGCGCAGGGACTGCGAACCCAGACTCCCGACGTCGTGATTTCTTCACAACGTCGACCTCCGCAGGTCCGGACCCCTTCCTGGAGATCGTCTTCTCCTCCTGAATCGTTTCTCGGTAGCCCCGAGGCCCGGGGGGGTCCCCCGGAGGCCGAAAACGGCGCCCCCCCCCCGCCGCGCGAGTTTTTCATTACTACGCGAGGAGGTCTGCGAGCCCAGAGCCGCGACGCTGCGCAGCGCGCCGGGGCGGCGCAGCAGCGCGCGCGCCTGGCGAGCACGCCGAGCGCGCCGCGGCGTGGAGCGCGCCGCTCGGGGCGGAGCGGCGAGTCGAGCGACGACGGGGCAGCACCTCGTGCACCAAACGGCGCTGGGAGCGCGGCGGGACGGCGCGAGAGGCGCTCCTGGAGGCGGGAGGCCACCAGGGCCCCGCATGAGGAGGAGGAGGAGGAGGAGGAGGAGGAGGAGGAGGAGGAGGAGGAGGAGGAGGAGGACGGAGGAGGAGGAGGAGGAGGAGGAGGAGGAGGAGGGGAGGAGGAGGAAGAAGAGAGAAAGAGGAGGAGGAGGGAGGAGGAGGAGGAGGAGGAGGAGGAGGGAAGGAGGAGGCGGAAGGCGGAGGCGAAAGGGGGAGGCGGAGGCGGGAGAGGCGGAGGAGAGGAGGAAGGCAGGAGTGGAGGAGGAAGAGAGGAGGAGGAGGCGGAGGGGAGGCGGAGGCGGGGAGGCGGAGGCGAAGGCGGCGGTGAGGCTGGAGGCGAGCGGAGGAGGAGGAGGAGGAGGAGGAGGAGGAGGAGGAGGAGGAGGAGGAGGAGGGCAGGAGGAGGAGGAGCAGGAGGAGGAGGAGGAGGAGGAGGAGAGGAGAGGGGAGGACGAGGACGAGGAGGAGGAGGAGGAGAGGCAGGAGGAGGAGGAGGAGGAGGAGGGGGGGGGAGGCGGAGGGGAGGAGGAGGAGGAGGAGGAGAGGAGGAGAGGAGGAGGAGGAGGGAGGAGGAGGAGGAGGAGGAGGAGGAGGAGGAGGCGCATGACGGAGGCGGGAGGCCACCAGGGCCCCGCATGAGGAGGAGGAGAGGAGGAGGAGGAGGAGGAGGGGAGGAGGGGAGGATGCGGAGGAGGAGGAGGAGGAGGGGAAGAAGAGAAAGGAGGAGAGGAGGAGGCGGAAGGAGGCGGAGAGATGGAGGAGGAGGCGGAGGGCGGAGGCGGAGGGGGAGGCGGAGGCGGAGGCGGAGGAGCAGGAGGAGGAGGAGGAGGAAGAGGAGGAGGAGGAGGCTGGAGGCGGAGGCGCGAGGCGGAGCGGGGAGGCGAAGGCGGAGGTGGAGGCGGAGCGGAGGCGGAGGCGGCAGAGGAGGAGGAGGTAGGAGGCAGGAGGAGCGAGGAGAGGAGGAGCAGGAGGAGGGAGGAGGAGGAGGAGGAGGAGGAGGAGGACGAGGACGAGGACGAGGACGAGGAGGAGGACGAGGGAGGAGGAGGAAGAGGAGGAGGAGGAGGAGGGGGAGGAGGAGGAGGAGGAGGAGGAGGAGGAGGAGGAGGAGGAGGAGGAGGAGGAGGCGGAGGCGTCAGGCCGTCCGCATCGGCCAGCGCTGCCGCGCACCCGAGCCCTCCACGCGTCGCCCTCCGCCAGGAGGCCGCTGCCCCGTCCCGCCAGGCCCAGGCCCCCGCGAGCAACAAAAAACAGGACGGGAGGCGTGTCGCCATTCTCGGCCTCCTGGGGCCTCGGGGTCGTTGAACAACGGCACGAGACGAGAAGCAGGTCCCGGGGAAGAAGTTGAAACTGGGGGCCGACGTCATGAAACAAGTCATGACGTCGGGGGTCCGGGGCCACGTCCCACCAGGGTGCGGGAGCTCACGGCGTCGGGGCCGCCCGCCCACCGGGGTGAAGGCCTCCGTGGGCCTCCAGGGCAGACCACCGTTCTGAGCCGTGCCGCGCAAAGCCGCACGGATGCCAGTCAACCGACTTCGATCGCGGGACTGCCCTCGCAACCAGCATCACGAGTGCGCTAATTACCGGCCATGCTCAGATACTGCGTCGCATCCCCAGGAGCCGTCAGGACCCCCTCTTGGCAGATTCCAGAGAGCACGGACCGCTGGGAACGACCTTCGGGCCGTCCGATCGCCTGCTCACCCTGGGCTCCCTCCAGGCAAGCCTCCAGGCGTGCCCCGATGCTCACCGCTAGCACAGCAGTGCTGTGGCCACGGCTCCGCAGCCCCAGCGCTGGGCCGCTGGGGGGGAGTGCCCGAAGGCGGTGCGCCTCGGCTCACTGAGGGTACCGAGGCGCGCGTGCCAACGCGCGCCGGCGCCTCCTGCTCGGGCGCGCAGACGGAGGCTGTCCTCCCCTGCTCGCCACGGGCCCGCCTTATGCTTGCCGGTCGGGGTCGCCTACAAACCGCGCAAGGGGGGAGGCCTCTCCCCCGCCCCCCTGCGCGCGTGGCGGCGCCTCCCGCTCTCGCGAGGGTGGCCCGCGCAGGATATACCGTTCGGTCCCGCTGCGGCGCCGGGAGCCGGGGCAGCTGGAGTCGCCCCAGCTGTTGCGGCCTTTCCGCTCTCCCTCCCCCCGCGGCGTTCTCCCCCGCTCCCCACCACGAGCCCACAGGAGCACTACTTTTGCTCTCCTCTCCCCCCGACGGCGTCCCAGCGCCCACCCGCCCCCTGCGCGCCTTCGAGCTTCAACACCAGGCGGCTTGTGCTGCGCTGCTCGGAGCGTCGCCGCTCGTTCCAGACGGCGCTCCCGCCTCGGCGCCTGCCATGCGCCCGGCTCACACTACAGTGCCGTTTTTTTTATACATGCTCCGCGTGCGGGTCATGTATTAAATATGCTGGGAATTAGTTTTTAAAAAACAACGATGAGTTCATGCATACATTTATCCATAACGTAATCACGTTTAAAATCCACTATGTTTTAAAATCCCCAGCATTAAAGACTGCCCTGTACCTCCAGCCACACTCGTCACGACGCGCCCGCCACCTTCCCCCCTCGCCCGCATGCGTCCCGAACCGCACGCGCCCCCGTCCGCGAGTAACGGCGCCTCAAACTCAGGATGACATTGGCCAGGAGGGACAACAAAAAAACACACAGACACAACGAATCGTCGATTCCCGAATTAGAAAATATGGGAAAACATAGGAAGTGGGTGGGAAGCCGATAACTCAGAAAATATAATAGGAACATATGGGGAATCCAGTTATTTGTGTCTATTTATTTGTGTGTCCCAGGGCCCCTTCAATTGGGTGCTGCGTCATCGAGCGTTCTCCGCCCGTCGCAGTGTCGAAGCGTCGTCGGCCGTTCCCGAGGGCGCTCCCGCCCCCGCGCCTGCTATAACGAACAGTGGCAAACAGCAGGGGGATGATTCGGTTCGGTAACTTCGGGGTGGAATGGCGAACGCGCCCTTGCTGATTTTTGTTGGCCTTTCCCGAGAGGCCAGCCGGTAGAGGGAAACAATGAGTGAACACCCCCCCTGCCCCCCAAACTCAGAGCTGGCACGCGCGGGGACACTTCGGTTGGGGACGATTTTCTGACACTTTGTGAATCTGATTGAATTTTCTTTGGGTACTTTTATAAACTCTTCGTCCAAGGTCCGCCTGTAGCGGGACACGCCCGACCTGAAGGTAGCACCCGAGCCTGCGGCCCCGATCGCAGCGACCTCGTGGGCGCGAGTCTGAGCCCCCCGCGGAAACGCCGTGCCGAGCACCCGGGAGCGGAGGGGAGAGCCCGAGGCATCACCCCGGGAGTCACGGATATCAGCGCGCTTCTGTTGGGGGGGCGGGGGGCCTGCACGGATCGGGGTCACGCGAGGCGCCCCCCTCCTCCTCCTCCTCCTCTTTCCTCGCCGTGCCCTATGGTCGGAAGCCATGGAGCAGTTCTCACGTGGGGCCCGCGCGTGAGCCAGAGTGTAGGCAATGTTGTGTTTTGGGGGCGTTGGCTTGTGCAGACATTTTGTTCCTTGTTGAACTGGAGTGGTGGCAACGGGCGGATGGGTCAACTGTAGAATCAGTGCCAGCGCGGGGTCCCATGGCTTCACTGCGGGCACAGCCGTCGCCGTTACCGCCGCCATCTGCAGAGCGCAGCACCCATGGTGCGCTGTGTTTTGAGTGTCGCGGGCAACGCGCCCCTGATTCGATGGGTGCCACCGCCAGGCGCAAACTTTGTTGGGTGCCGCATCCAGAGTGATCCTTCCCTTGGACGCCACAGGCAGGGAGTTGGGCGACGTCTTGGCAACGCTGTACCTGCGTTGAAGTTGGTCCCCACTGACGTTACCCGCCTTCCTCTTGTTGGGGGGCCTGGAAATGACAACCCAATCAGCAGCCCAAGCCAGCGCTGTTGTCGGGAAGCTCCGTCCGCGAGCGCCCGCTCGCAACCCCCACAGATCGCTCTGCCAGCGCTGCTGCCCAGAATCTCGCCCAGTGCGTACCCGTTCGCGGCCGGCACACATCGCTCTGCTGGGTATGGTGCAGGAAGCTCGGTCGGCTGGGCGCCGCGTTCCGCCGACGCACTTCGCTCTGCCAGCCTGGTTGCCAGGACGTTACGTTCTCTTTGCTGCCAGGATGCTCGCCTCCCTGGCCAGGATCGGTGCAAGTTGATGGTTGGCATTCCACTACGTGTGCCAGAGCATCAGGCCCAGGGGAATGAGGTGGTCTCGGTGCGGCGTGCCGCCGGTTTTGCGTTCCCCGCTGGCGCGATCACTTTCGTTTCTTTTCCCCCTCCCTCCTCTTCTCCCCTCCTTTCCTCCTCTGCAGCCCTTTTCGGGTCAAGGCAGGCAGTGACTCTTTGCAGCGATTCGTGTGGCGAGCCCCGGTGCCATAAGCTGAAGCAGCACTGATGGCGCAGGCCTTGGCCGGGCAGGACCCCAAAGCGGTGCAGAGCTTGATCTCGGACCTCAAGATGCTTGCGGCGTATGAGACTGCGGCCGACTGGCGGGAGCCGAAGGCCATGGAGTCCGCCTTCCAGGCCGTCTCGTGGGACGACGCCGCAGTGGCGAAGGCCGTCCCGGACTACCTGGCCTCCACTGGGGCGGAGCGCGCAAAGGTGGACTATGCCTTCAACGCCCTGGTGCCTCGTCCGCCCCAGGACATCGATGGCAAGCAGGCGGCGATCCACACCTGGCTCAAGGCGCGCCTGTTCACGTACAACAAGGCCTTCCCTTTCCAGTTCGGCCCCTACAAGAGCTGAGCGCGCGGCCCCCAGCCTGCCTGTGCCTCCCGCCTCCCGCCCGTGCTCTCTGCCTCGTCCTCCTCTCTCTGGCAGCTGTGTGGCGATCAATTGTTGAGACCCCGTGGGAATCGTTCCAGAAAGAGATGTTCTTCCGTCGGTCCGTGCCCGTGTGGCTCCGTGCCGCCTCCGCAGTCGAACGCAGTGGTAAGGACGGAGGGGGCTTTATCGGCGCTGCCATCGTATCCGCCTCTGTCTGTTCGGCCTGGGGCTTTGGCCTGTCGCCACTGCTATCGGCTTGGCATGGGCTGCACGTGCACTCATCCTCCCCACACGCTCGTTCGACTGCTGCGCCCATTCCGTCCGCCGTCGATGCGGGCGTCGTGACGGGTACGGGTGATGTCATGTCAGGGGCCAGGCGACATGCGAGAGATGATGATCTGAGGCTCGCGCCTCCCAGCGCCGCCGAATCGTCGCCGGGGCGTCCGTCCCCTCCTCGCCCTCGCTGCTTGGCGCGAATGTTCTGTCCGTGTCGTCCTATGGGCCCTCTTCGGGCGCTGCTGGGCCGCCTTGGAGGGTCGTTTGGGGGCCGTCTCGGGGGCCGTGTGGCCCGTCCTGGGGCTCTCTTTGGGGGCCTCTTGGGCCGAGCGTCTCTTGGCTATCCTGGAGGCCCCTGCGCCGTCTTCGGCTGTGGGAAGCCCTAAAATCGGCGTCACCCCAACATACTTATACTATATGTGCGTCGCCCTCCCAGGGGCGACGCGCGCACCGAGAAATCTTATAGTATATGCGTCGTGGCGGGCGCTTTGTGTCCACACCGCTCAGGAAAACGATGTACTACAAGATGGGTATACTACATGTTCAAGTCGGACGCGCGCCTCCAAGGAGGACATATAGTATTAGTATGTCCCTGTGCGTCCCATAAACGGCGAGAGCGCGAATCTCATTGAAAACCTCAGGGGCCTCAGAGATGTTACTCTCTGCAGGCCCTCGTGGACGGCCTTCTGGAGGCCTCTTGGGCCAGCTGGAGGCCGTTCTGGGGCCACCTTTGGCCGTCTCGGAGGCACCTTGGGTCGTGAAGGGGGCTTGCTGGACCATCTTGCAGCCATCTTGGGCGCATGGGCCGATGGCTGCCGTTTTTTTGAGGCCGCTGGCGGGTTGAAACAAAGGCCGCTTTGGAACCTGTTGGAAGGGACAGATCGTATCCGACAACCTGGCCCGCCAACACCCCTCCGTAGGCTACGGGGGCGGCGGATCAAAGAAGCCTGCGGCCCATACGGCAAACTACCGCCGCCATAATTCTTTCTGGAAGCGCCTGTGTGGCCACAAGTTGGGCCGAAGTCTTGCCATATGGTTTGCTATTGGACTCTGTGTTCCCCGAGCCGTTGTGGAAGTTCTGGGGGAGGAAGAGAGGACGAGGAGAAGGAGGAGGAAGTTGAGGAGGAGGAGAAGGAGGAGGAGGACAAGCGTACACCCACGACTCATCGACGATGTTGAATCCAGTGTCCCTCTGAGATCCTTCTTCAGAGGTCCCTATAAAGGGGCCATTTCCACTGAGGGAGTTGCCCCGTTGGGGGACAACCGTGTGAACATCTTGGGGCGCACCAACAACCATTCTCAGGACTTCAACGCCACGAGTTGACCTGACTGTTTTTGTCTCGGCGATCCTGAGTCGTGCCTCAGCGCCATTTCTGCGACTTCAACACCGCAAATCAATGTAACCGCTGCGTCCAGACAACCCTGAATCGATCCAGAAGGCCAGTTTTGGTACGTTAACCGTGCAAATCCATCAAACGACTACAGCTGTTTAAAACGAATGTGCTCGGCGCTAAGACGAGAGGCACATGTTGAAAAGGACCCGCCCTCAATCCGTGAAGCCCTTGCAGTTGTTTGGAAAGAATGTGCGCGGCGCTAAGACGAGAGCCACATTTTGAAAGCGACCCGCCTTCAATCCCTGCAGCGCTTGCAAGATGTGTTCAACGCATGCGCGGCGCTAAGGCGAGAGCCGCGTTTTGAAATCGGCCCGCCCTCAATCCGTGAAGCCCTTGCACATGTTTAGAGCGAGTGTGCGCGGCGCTGAGGCGACCCGCCCTCCATCTGTGAAACTGCTGGCCATGCTCAAGCATCAGGGTCATACACGGGGAACGAGGTCTCCAGCGTAACGCTGGGCCCACCGTTTCGACCGAACTCGGGGTGCGACATGGAGGAGTTATTCGGATGGAAGAGGGGAGGAGGAGGAGGAAAGGGAGGAGGAGGAGGAGGAGGTGGAGGAGGAGGAGGAAGAGGAGGAAGAGAAGGAGGTGGAGGGGGAGGAGAAGAGGAGGAGGAGGAGGAGGAGGCGAAGAGGAGAGGGAGGTGAAGGAGGAGGGAGGAGGAGATTGAGGAGGAGGAGAGAGAAGAGGAGGAGGAAGCGGGGGAGGAGGAGGAGGAGGGGGAGGAGAAGGAGGAGGAGGAGGAGGAGGAGGAGGAGGGGGAGGAGGAGGAGGAGGAGGAGGAGGAGGGAGGAGGGAGGAGGAGGAGGAGGAAGAGGAGGAGGAGGTGGACGAGGAGGAGGAGGAGGAGGAGGAGGAGGAGGAGGAGGCGGAGGAGGAGGAGGAGGCGGAGGAGGAGGAGGAGGAGGAGGCCTCTTAGGAGCCCGGTGGGGCTCCGGGGCTTGCTGCTGGCCGCCCGGGGGCCTCTCCGGCGCCTCCCTGGGGGGCCTCCCGGGGCCTCCTGCCTCCGGGGGGCACTGGAGGCTCTTTGAGGGGCCTCCTGCCTCCGGGGGGCCTCCGGGGGGCCTCCTGCCTCCGGGGGCCTCCTGCTTCCGGGGGCCTCCTGCCTCCGGGGGGCCTCCTGCCTCCGGGGGCCTCCTGCCTCCGGGGGGCACTGGAGGCCTTTTGAGGGGCCTCCTGTCACCAGCCTCGAACTTATCCCTATCCCAATCCCTAAGATTGGCACGCCCAAAGGCGATTCGGGGGTGGACAGAACCCCCAACAGTGACACGTCGATTAGTGAATTGTCCGTTTTCGGTTTTCGAGAGGGCGCCGTGGCCGTTATTTTCCAGGCTTGCGCCCGCCAGGTTTGGGCCTCAGATTGTTTTCACTAAACCACGTTTTGCTAAAGGGGGGTCTGTCCATCCCCGAGTGATGACAATCCTAGGGATGCGCCCTGAAAAACTAAGGGTACCCCTGAGATTGGCATTGTGATGAGGCGATGCCCAGCTCAGGGATAGGGGTATGTTCCAGGCTGGTAATCTTGGCCGTCGGAAGCCGTCTTGGGAGCTCACGGGGCCGCGTCGGAACCCTGTTGGGAAGCTTGCGGGTCGTGTCGTCTCGTGGGTCCCTGGGGCCGTTTGGGGTCCCGCTCGGGCCGTCCGGGGCCGTCTTGACCTCTGCTGGGGCCCTCTCGTGGGCTTCTGGGGTCGTCGTGGGGCTATCCTGGAAGCCCCTGGGGCCGTGCGCGGCTGCGGGAAGCCCGGACCATGCGGGACCGCCCAAATCCTTCACGCACCTAAGAGCGCGCCAACGATTTTGGCACCTTCGGGCCGTCGCGGGAGGCCTCTTGGAGCCCTCTTTGGCCGCAGCGTTGGCCTCTTTGGGCCGTCTTCGGGGCAGCTGTGTCCGTGATTGAGTCATCTCGGGGCCAGCTCGGCCGACGAAGGAGACCACCGAGGTCACCTTGGAGGCCATCTTTGGCAACGTCGGTCGTCTTGGCGGCCCTCTTGGGACCGTCCTGGGCGGGAGAGCAGGCGCAGCGTTCGGCGGCGAGCGAGGGGGGGAAGTGAGAAGGAGAAGGCCCTCTCAGGAGGCGGCGGGGCTTCTCAGAAGCCCTCGCGCCTTCTGAGGAGGGCTCTGCGTATCCGGGAAGGCTTCAACAACTTCTCAGACGGCTTAGGGACTCCAGAGTCTGCTGAGAAGGCCAGCCCCCCCATCTCACTCCCCCCCCCACGGCTCGCGGCCGAAGTGTGTCCCGGCACGTTCTTTTCCACATGGCTGGCGCGATGCGCCGCGACCCCACTGGGAACCTTATTGAGGGTCCAAAAGGAAGATGGCACGTGCTCGAACATTCGGCGCGCCAGCCACCCTTTTGCAAGCGGGTCGGAGACGCCTGCGGCGAGTCGCCGCCGCCCCCTTGCCTTTCGGAAGCGCCTGCGTGGCCGAACGCTGCGGCCAGAGCTCGGCCAAGCCATCGGACGATGTGCTCCCCCCAGCCGTTGTGTAAACCCTTCGGGGGAATATGTGGGTGGGGGGGACGAAAAAGAGGAGGAGACGGATGAACAAGGAGGAGGAGGAGCAGGAGGAGGAGGAGGAGGAGGAGGAGGAGGAGGAGGAGGATGCCTCTTGAGAGCTTTTTGCGGCGCTCTTGGGGCCTCTTGGGAGCTTCCTGGGGGACTCTTGGAGGCCACTTGAGGGCTTCCTTTGGCCTTGTGGGGGCCTTCAAGGCTTCCTGGGGAGCTCTTTGGCTGCCTGAGGGCGTTCCTTGCCAGTCTCACGCCGTCAGAAGCCGCCTTGGGGGCCTCTCTGTGCTGGCTTGGGGCCCTTCACGCCCGTCGTAGAGGCCATCTTGGGCGTCTTGGAGGTGTCCTGAGCCGTATTGGGGTATTAGGGTTTTCTTGGGCCTCCCAGGCGCTCGCTCTTGGGGCCATCTTGGTGGCCTCCAGGGCCGTCTTGGGCCCTCGCAAAGCCGAACATAAGCAAACGCCCAAATCCGTCAAACACCCAAGGAACGTCAGCGATTTGGGAGGTCCACTTGGCGGCCTCTTGTGCCGTCTTGGAGGCCTCTTGGGCCGCATGTGGCGATCCTGAGGTCATCTTGAGGGCATCTCAGCCCGTCTTGGAGATAGCTTGTGGCCATCTTGGGCTCTCGTGGGGCCGTCGAAGCCGTCTTGGAGGTCATGTTGGCCGCCTTGAAGGCAGTCTCGGGACCGTCTGGAGCGGGAAGGCCGACGACCTGGGAAGTTTATGGGTCCTTTCTGGGCGGAAAGCCGTTTTGAGAGACTTTTTATGCGCCCTTCCGGGTGGCTGGCGCATTAGGCCGAAGGC